TATAAAAAATGTATTCCATTGAAATCAATAAGCTTCCTTCAATATTTTATTACACATGTATATTTTACTAAATAAGCATTTTCGTTTTGAATTAGAATTGAGAATTAGACGCATATCATCACCATTCATCTATCATATATAGAGGAACACATTATTCCAATGACTCTCTTGACTCCTCATTGATATAATTTTTTTATATTAAAATATTACTTTGAACACACTTTTTAGAAGGCCCCACCGTCGTATTTGCCCCATTAGCCAGACCCATGAATTAGGAGAGCCTACCCTTTAACCATATTTACCCTCTTAGCTACACCTGTGAGTTCAGTAACTTTTACTATAAAATATGGACTATCCATTACTACTTGAAATTCACAGTATGTTGTTTTTTTTTAATGGCGAAAGATATTAAAACTTAGCAGTAACGTCGAGTGCAATATAAATATTTCATTACATAGGTGCATATATTTTATATGCCATATTTAAATACTTATTTATATATAATTATTTATATATGCATGAATATACTTATATATAGAAAAACCTAATGAATAGTTTTCATCATTGGACAGATGCGTTATGAGCCATCAAAGCAAAAAAATTTAAAAACTAAAAATTGAAAAATGTTTACAAAAAGCCATAAATAACAATTACATACCGTCTAGTAATGAAACTACTTAACAGGGTTTTTATTCTACCGATATTACTAGATCTGGGTGTGGTACATAAACAGACTGCAGTGCTGAAGTGCATTGTTGCATGCATTTCAGTCAATTTTTGTTGCATATGCTTTTGATCATTTACGCAACATAAATTTGATGATCATGCTTAACCCTTTTGTTACCACAAACCCATTTAAGCTCAGTGCTAATAATAAAAAATTGATTTTGCTTAATTCTTTATGATCGGTATTTAATTAATTTTAAAAATGTGGTTCCACTATCTTACAACAGTTGTACTTTGTGGTACATTTTTTACTAATATTTCAGTTTATAATTTAGTTTAATTCAGTTTTCCATATATCATTAAATCTAATTACAAAAAAACTAATATTTATTATCATAAACTACTATTAAAATCATCAAAACATATGTCGTGTCAAAGGATAGATTGTTCTGTCAAAATAATATACAAAATGTGGATACATTTAAAAATAAACAAAACTTTTAACATGAGAAAATCCGATATATATATATCAAATCGAACTATATATTGTCTAGATGAAAATTTAGGTTAGATTAGATTTAATAACAAATAGACTCCAAGTAGATCTGCTTTGGAAGCGTTACGTTACCGTAGGGTGCTTGTTCTATAATATCGTTATCCAAATTATTTATTTATATAGGATTTTTGGTGATACATTATATCTAAATTATTTTCTTTGACATTTTGTGTGGCTTTTGACAATAGTTACTGATATACCTACATGGGTTTTTCTTGAAAATAATTTCTTCTCTTCCTTTTGGCCAAGGTCTCAAAGATCGTCAGTTAGAACTCCAAACGCAGTGTACAGATTTATCTATTAAATGATAATTATTGGGCTCCAAAAAACATTATATAAACTTTTATCTTGTAAAGCTTAAGCATTTGCTATTTACTATCTCAAGCATTTGCACTGTTTAGTCGATTGATGAACTATTCTTTTCTTTTATAGACAACATTGAATAGTCATATGGAAGGGAGGAACTTAAATCTGTTAGCCTTTCTTATTTTTTCTTCTGATAAGAGGATAAATCTTTATTGAAATTTATCGATTTATTGCAATTTAATAAATTAGAATTGATTGCGGTGGATAAAAAAAAACTATATATAGTAAAGAATAGTAACTTTAACTGTAGATTTAAAATAGAGACTTTTTTAAATAATCTTCATAATATACGCATAGATACAATTTCTACTCTTCTTCATGACTATAAATAACTACTAAGACTATGCTTTATACAATATAAGTAGCACTATCGTCCTTTCCATTGAAAAGTCTATTACGGAACTATAACAAATTGTGTATATACTTAAAATACACCTGAAATCGGTTTTGCAATATATTTTGTTGTTTGCTTCACTCTATTCGATATGAAGTCTTCTAGTAGCAGAGAAGTAGAGCTTCAATATACTTCATTAAAAAATACCGGCGATAAGGAAATTAAGAAATGCATATAAAATCGTGATCTTATCAAAATCATAATTGTTTTTTTGTGCCATATGATAGAAAGCAAATCATATCTTATATTTAAGTAATAGTTAAACGTAGAAAAAACGGAGTGATAGTAGTCATGGATCAACAAATTTTAAAGAAGTGTATATTCAAGCTCCTTAAAATTTCTATTCTCATCCACGCTTTATTAAATTCATGTTATTAAAAAATTCCTAATTTTAAAATATATTGTTGTATATATATTCATCAAACACCACAGAGATTAAATGTATTTTAAAAAAGAATATGTTTTAATCAATATTATTTAGTAACTAATAGACTTATAAATATTTTTTAGTATATATTATATGGAGACCATTCAAAAAGATTCATTTAATTTGTTGTGTTGAAATAAATTTAATACTTAACTTAATATTTTAGTAATATCTATCCAGATCGAAGCAACATTTAGAACATTTTATGGCAACATCAAATTATAAAAAACTCGACGTAACAACAGGTTATCCTGAAATCACTCCTGGGTGTAAGTTTCGTAGACGCTCGTCGAGTTTGACGACCAAGTTCCATTCATCACTATCCAAAGGGATTACACAAGTAGATCACAAGAGATACAACAACAACAACAATAATTTATTGTGGTGATTGTAACAACTTTAATTTTAATGAAAAATGTTTTAAATTAAAATTTTGATTTGATTCTTAAATTGTAATATTCAGTGGAGCTAGTTTGGATACTTTCTTAAAAGACCAAACAGCAATTATAATCAATAGTTATTGTGAGAGATCTTTCAAGGTTATTGGCGATCTCGCGTCTCGGTATTAACTGGAGGAGAAAATTAGAAAGTGAGTTAAGAAATGCAGAGTAAATATGAAAAGATACCGTCCCCTACTTGAGTAACACTCAAATTTAAGTTACACCTAATGGAACAGATATTCATCATCATCAAATACATACACACCACATATATGTATATAATTTTTTTAATTAAACGTGAAATATCTGTTGTTATTCGCATACTGAAACTCTCTTAAAAGACGATATAGTAATATTGTTTAACAGTTATTGTGAGGGACCTTTCTATGTTTTTGGCGATCCCACGATACGTTGCTCTGTCCATAATCTGGAACTAAACAACTGAACGTCAGTAACGCAATGTATATATGTGGGACAACAACCTTGCCCAGTTCTATAACAATTAAAAATAATAACAGTCTTTTTATACTCCATCTAGAACAGATTTTCATCATTATTTTTACTCGTATAAATTAAAAACCAGACAAATATAATTTTTTTTAATTAAATATTGAATGGAATTTTTTTTTTTATTACTCATTTACTAAACACATATATGGTATTAAAAATCAGTGAAGTAATAAATCTTTTAATCATATAGTGTAAATTAATTAAAAATCAATTAAATTTGTCTTATTAGCATATTTTTTAAATAAAAGCAATTAACTTAAACTCGCACCAATAAATCACAATAAATCAAAACGAGTAATCGCCCTAGCTTTTGAAGTTAGAGGAAAGCGCCAAGTAACAAAAAATCAATTGACGCGGTTACCCGCATTCTAATTAGAACGCAACTAATAAGCGCACTTAGCCAAACTATAGTGAGCGTTTGTCATAGGGAATTCCCTGTGGTGTCATAAAGCAAGTACATAAGTACTCGCACTCAAAATTGTGGGTAATTTTATATTCATAGCACTTCAAAAAGTAGGCAAAAAAGCGTCGGCAAATAATGTGTGCAACACACAAACGCACATAGCTTTAAGCTAACACACACACACATACATACACAATCGCACATAGTTTATATAAAATGAGCTTGAATTGTTTTTATTAGTCTTTTAATCCGTAGTAAGAATGCTGCTTTCTTACAAGCAAAAAGGGCTCTAATTTGTCACCCTTGTCAGTGAACATGTTTCCGTGTACGGGGGGAGTTGCACAAATATGCTTAAGAGTTACTCTTATTGTTGTTGTTGTTGGTTGTTCGTTTTGGAAATTGGTAAATCTTTTCAAGGTTTTTGTGGTTAAAACTTTAATACTTAAGTGATAAAATTATAAATTAAAAAAAACTATAGACTATAGCCGAAATATTGGTGGAAATAAAATGATTTATTTTATGAATAATAAATTTAAAATGATTTAAATTTATTATTTATAATAATTAAAAAATACTCCATATCCTGTAGTCGGATATAAAATATAAAAAACATTTTAAAAAAAAAATCAGTTCGAGGAACAAATTCAAAATTTAATAATTTTTAAAAAAAATTTAAAAAGTTTTGTGTTTTGAAAAATTACACAAAAGTATCAATAAAAAAAAGTAATGGACTATACTGACATATTGACAAAAAATAATATATATATTTTAAACAACTGACCAATTTCATTTCATATTTTAAGAATATATAATTTTTTTATATAATTTTTATATATAATACAAATTACACAAAACTATGGGTTTAAAAAATTATAATGGACTATACTGGACTTATTTGTGGTATTAAAATATATATTTTATAAATAATTTAAAAAAGTAGTGTATTATTTTAAACAACTGACCAATTTCAGTTAATATTTCAAAAATGTATAATTTTTTTATAAAATTTTTTTTATATAATATTTATTGTATAATGAGTATAGTATTTATTTATTTTGAAAACATTTGAGAAATAACTGAAATTTTTTACTCCCAAAACAAACCGCCCTTTGGCTCTAAAAATTACCCATTAAATAATTGACCAATTTGCCCGTTTCAAAAATAATAATAATTTCAAATAAAATTATATTCGTTAAAACAATCAATTTAAACAAAAAAGTAATCGTAACTTTTCCTACCTGAACTTGGACGATCACTGTAACGAGTGCAGTAAACCCACGCAGGCCAAACAATGGGACCACTGCCATTAGCACCGCTACCGCTGCTGCTGCCACTGGAACTGTTCCCACTATTATCGTTGTTATGTTGTTCTTGCGTTTTCGTCTGCTCGGTGTTGTTGTTGTTCTGTTGTGCGGGTGCGGGTGAAATACTGCAATTGGTTTGCGTCGAAATCGGCGATTTGACACGATCGCTGCTAATAGCAGTGCTGCTCGAATCGTTGCTGTTCGTGCATATGTTAGCCAGTGACGTGCTAAAATTAAGCGTCGCTGCATTAGCAGTGGCGGCTGCACTTGACATTAGATTCGACAAATCCATAGCTGCGCTTGAATTTGCCGTAAACTTCTTGCTGCGGTTCGAGTTATTAGCGGACTTTAGCGAACGCGCCGAATTAATGCTTTGTATGAAGGGTTCGGTGAGGGGACGGCCGAAATCGGCTTTAAGTATATTATCTATGCTAAATTTCAGCGTTGATTCGTGTAAATGATCATTGTTGTTGTTATTGGTGTTGTTGTTGCCACGCATAAATGGTAGATGCGCTTGCATTTTCGCCTGTAACTGATTGAGGCCAGTTGTTAAAGGCTTGTGTTGTTGTTGTTGTTGTTGAACACCTAAAGCAGTTAACTTAGCGAGTGCATCATTGGCAGCACACATATTTTTTGGCACTGTTTTGTTATTGTTATTAGCTACCGCCGCAGCTGCCGCCGCTGCTACTGTGGCGGCCGCACTTAATTGTGACATTTGTGAAATGGCAGATAAATGCGAATGTATGCCGGCCAAGCTAGCGATGTCCGGTGGCTTATCATGTTGCCTTAACACTGTCTTGCTTTGCTCATTGTTTAGCTCGGCGGTCGCAAGATTCTGATAGACGCTTTGTCGCAGTGTAAAAGCGCTACTAGCGCGTGCTGCCGCCACCAGCTGCATTTGTTGCTTCATTAGTTCCTCGGCGTAAAGATGTGACTTCCGCATAAACTCTTCGTGGAATGGTGTGACATTTGCATTTGGCAGTATTGGGACTGGGATACGTAGTGCATTCGCTACTACAAAGGGATCAATAACGCTAGTTGTTGGTGTATGTAAATCATCATCTTCCAATTGTGTAGTGGTTTCATCGGTGGATGCATTCGAGCGAACATCGCTAGTATCCATAATGCTGTTGGTGTTAGTGCTACCACTGCTTAATGCCACAGGTCGACACAAAGCCAATAGACGTTGTGTGCGTTGTGTTATATGACGCTGAGCCGTGTTCTCCTGTCCCACAGACAATTCACTATCATCACTACACAAACTGACAGCGTCGGCATCGACATCTTCCTCCGCTTCATCGCAAAGCATACTCGGTACCGTCACAGTATCACCCGGCACCACATTAGTTGTTTTCAACACCTCGTCCTCATCCATATTCCCTACTTCCGACATTTTAAGCATACAAACGTCACTTGCCGTTAGCTTTTCATTAGCGTCGGCGTTAGAGGAACTTAAGCGCGGACTGGGTACACTGTGCTGCTGCAACTGCAAGCAATCTGGATGCATTGTCGTGCGTAATGAAAAGGATAAAGGTGATATAGTCAGCGGTAAGGACATTTAGGCGTGTACTATACACCCTACACACATGCAGACACACTAGTTAATGCACACACATAAGTGTCAAGTTGCAACTAAGTTAAAATAATTTTGAAAAAACACGTACCGCCGGCGGTATTTTGCAAACTCCGCACAAATTCTTTAATTTTATTATAAAATACTTTTTTATTTGTTATTTTAAATTTTCTCCAATAATTTATTTTAACTTAAACAAAAACAAATAAACGTTTAGTGTGATTCACTTACAATTACTGTATATTTGCATATTCACAGCTAAAAATTAACACCAAACTGCAGTGTAAACGTTTACACTGCAATTTCCAAAAACTGTGTTTATTGTACAGTTTAATTTTTTTCAATATAAAAATTTTTTTTTCCTTTTCTTCGTTCTTCAGTTAATCAGTAGTAAAAAGCACATAAAACAAAACATAAACAGCGAAAAATACACATAAAAATCGCGCCTTTAATGTAATCCGCACCGTTTCACTGTGCTCAATCTTCAGATCAAGTCTCTTAACTGAGTCGGGCACAACGTATAAAAGTTTCGCATTAGCAAAAGAAGAAGCAGCACAGCAAACAGCATATACTGAGAAAACAAAAGCACAAGTACTCATTCTCTCACTGTCAATACAAAACTATACTCACGAAGGGAGGAGCAGTATGCATTTCCACTGGCACTAGAATGAGTAAAAGCGATAAATGTAGTGTTGAGTTGTGTGTAAATAAAATTTATATAAATTTCTACTAACACATTAAGACAATTTTGTTTATATTATATCCATTAAAAACACACACACAATGGAAGTGAGGGGCGTGCGCATGTTACAATTAACTGCAATAACTACTGCTATCTTTTTCATGCACAACAATACAATACATAGCATTTATTTGTTTTGAAATTTATGTAGCAGCTTGTATGTGCAGCACTTCATATTGTTACAATTTCATTTTTTATATTAACTCTGCGTTTTTGTTGTTTTTTTTGTTGTTACTTTACATGAGTGCTTGCTTTGTTGTTTTTTTATTTTTCTATGCTTTTGTTATTTTGTTGTCAGTTGAGGTTATGTTAAGAGCTTGTATATTTGTTAATTAAGTGCGCGCAGCCGACATTTGAGCTCATTTAGTAGCATTTTTTTTTTATTTTTACATTTTGTCAGCATGTACTTTGTATGTACGTTTGGTCATTTTATTAACAAAAAAAATTTTGCTTCTTCCCTTCTTGTTGTTGTTGTTATTTATTTTTGTTGCGTACAACAATAACAATAACAACAAACTCGTAAATCTCTTGTAGTGTTTTGATTACTTTTGCCGTTTTCGTTTTTGTTGTATTTTTGGCATATTCACACACATATATGTATGTATGTACGTTTTACATTTTACTTACATTTATAATTTTGGTTGCGCATTGCATCTGCAAGTATTTTGTTTTCACAATGCTTTGCTGCTGCTGCTGCTGCTTTTACTACTGTTACTGCAACAACACTTGCATGGTAAGTTTAGCTTAGTTTAGTTGTATGCTTATTATATTGGTTTTTGTTTTTTTTTATTATTTGCTGCAGCACACAACCTTTATTTGCCGCTGTGACATTCCAATTGAGTTTATTAGTTTTTTATCATTGTTGTTGTTATTATTGTTATTGCCTTTATTGTTGTTATTACTGTTGCTGTAGTTGTTGCTGTGAATTGTATTGTCTGCTTGTATCCTTCATGCTGAAATCATGTTTTATTATTAACATTTCATTTTTATTTTGTTTCATTTTGTTTTGGATAGCATAGTTTTGTGTTGTTGTTGTTATTATTGTTGTTTTTGTGTGAAATTTATAAATCACCACAATTTAGGTGAGCACACATCTGCTGTGATTTCATAATTGATGCTTTACTGATACACATATGTACATACATATGTATGTATGCATATCAGAATAAAGTTCATACAGATGTAGTACATAATTATATGTTTAATATTGCTACGTACAATAAATTTATACATAAATATCTATACCTATATGTGTATGTGTTTCACATAGGAAGCTGTCTGTAATTAATTTTTATTATAATAAAATTAGTTGCAATTTATATTTTTGTGTCATTGTGTCATGTAAGTTAATTATGCGGTTATGTATAAACACAAATATATTACACCAGTAGCGTAATTACATTTTTTAGGCCTATAAGCAAATTCTAATTAAGGGGCCCCTACTAACATCTTTTTATACCCTTTACACGAAGAAATGTAAAAAGAGTATATAAGGTTTGTCAAGATTTTCGTAACGCATTAAAGGAAACGTCGGAAATACGATATAAACTTAACAATCGGATATGAGGTTTCTCCGTTTTTAATAAAGGTATTCGGATGGAATTTGGTATATACTATACTGATATTTGCATAAGACAACGTACAAAATTATTTTCAAATGGGTTTAAATCTAGGTATAGCTTCCATATCAATTCTCGA